TTAAGTTATTCTTGTTTAAAGTTTTAAAAAAATTTATTAAAAAATATTTGCTTGATTTCTATTGACTCAACCCCATACATGTGTATGAGAATAGAATTTCATATCATACCCAACAAGTAATCTCGTAATCCGTAAACATTTTACGACCATAACCTTAAAAAAATAACCATAATGTTATTATAAGAAAAATTTTATAATGAATTGATTATGTTGTTGTTAAAAAAATTTTTTATAATTGATTATACTTACCATGGGTTAGTGGATTTTGTACTCTAATTTCTAGAAAATTATCCTCTTCTACATCCTCATCCTCCTCATCTTCATCATCACTATCAAGAGTTATCCTCCTATAATGTGTGCAAGTAGATCTATGTTTATGATTTCCATCATTACGAATTCTATTATAATCAGCTAAACATCTATTAATCAAAAAAAAAAGATTGATTTTAGTGTTAGTATCGAAGTCCAAACTATCGACCGACTAATTCGATGTTATAAAATCGGTTTAGCCTACTTAATCGACTAGTAGTGGTCTTGATAATCAAAATATATACAAGTGAACGATTTATGATAAAATTCTGTTTACAACAAAATCGTTTAAAATTCAAAAATCCGTTTAAATGATAGAACGCAATCCTCTAATCCAGCTTATGATACTGATTGATTGATTGGTTGAACTAATTATTATTATTATATATATATATAATATATATATAATAAAAAAGATGATTTTTACTTACATCCAACAAAATTCATATTTACATTCTGGCATTTTACAAGTCATATGGTCACATCCACCATTCTTTATGATATGAACACCACAATTCGGACAGGGTTTTGTTTCTTTTAACAAATAGTTATGTGTGGCAACTTCTTGTTCATTGTTTTTCCTTTGATCATATTCAGAACAGGTCAAACCTTCATGCCATGGTACATCATGAGTAAAGCATGCTTTTGAACCACATTTTGGACATGTCATTATTGGTAAATCATCTATTTTTTTTAATAAAAAAAAGATAAAAATAAAAAATCATCGTTCTCATAAAATGAAGATAAACTTGTAAACAGTTAAAACGACTTACGTTCTCCACTGTGAACTTGAGCGGAATCACATTTGGAATTTAAACAAAATCTGATATCTGACATACTTTGAAGTGCTTTACGTAAAGATAATTCATCATATCTATAAATAAATAACTAAAATTAATCAATCAAATAAATATATATGTATAAATGTATATAAATTTTATGTATAAACCTTTCATATAATTTTTCCGTGGCTAATTTTCTAATATCATTATGATCTAAAGTTTCATCACATTCATAAGAAGGACATTTAATTTCTAAAATATTATTCAAATTTTTTTCAATATGAATATTAATACATTCGGCACATATTTCTGAATTATGTTTACAATTTTCTGTAATTTCAGGAAAATATTTAATGGGTTTTTTTTCTGCACAAATAATACATTCAACATTTGAGTACTCCATTTATATTTTTAAAAAAAAGAGAGAAATAATTTAGTAAAATTTGAATAGATGAGATGAAATTTATTAAATATTTAAAAGAAGGATAAAATGTTTTTTTCTGACGTCATTATATGCCAAATTATGTATATAGGAATCAATATCGGAGTTTTTAAAAAATCACAATCATAAAAAAAAAAAATACAATTAATTATGGAAATATTGATTACAAAAAAGTTGATTAATGAATGAATATGAAACGGTATATTTCTAACGTTATCTGTTATTACATATGTGGGAATCGCCTTTTTTCCATAATTACTCATTATTTAGTATCGATACCTGAAATAACTATGATCGATTTCATTTTTAATCGGGCTTAAAGAAATAATGACGAATCCCTAATTGTGATACTATGCGCAATTATACAATTGCAATTTTTACATTTAAGAAGTTGCCATTATTTTCCATTTATCATGAATAATCAACTTTCTGATATTGAAGTAGAGTGTCCAGCTATTTCTAGCATCTAAAATAGCATCACGAAAACAACCAAACTAAATTCGATAATTTGTCTTATTTTTTATTCTATAAACATATATAATTAAAGTAAACAATTTCGGTTGAATTTGATTATGTGGTTGTCGTAATATCGCTAGTGCTATTTTAGATGCTACGTAGTAGAGTGTCCAGGGTACTGCGGTGCATAATTCTGCTCACGCTAAAAATACTTTTTTACATTGTATTTTGATTTAAAAAGTGATTTAAATCACGTGTTACTCATGAGAACAATATAAAAAATTATTTTTAGCGTGAGCAGAATTATGCACCGCAGTACCCTGGACACTCTATGCTATACGTATCAATGATCAATTGAGAAAGCTATTTGAAATATTTAAAATTTGAAAATCTTTGAATTAGATTTCTAAATTATTCCATTTGAAATTCTTAATATTAAAAATTTATGTCAAAATGATCTATTCTTAGTTTTTATGATCCATAATGATAGGTGATAAAATATGAATGAATGAATGAATGAATGAATGTTAGATGCTAATCCGATTTTCAACATCCATTTTTAGAACATGAAAAGACTTTAATAAATAATAACAATCATTGCGAATAAACTGGTGGTATACAAACCTGCAGAATGGTATATCCTTGAATAGTAATTTAGACCATTTATATATAGGTCTCCTTGGCTTTAATAATTCAGAAAGTGAGGTTTATGTACATTATTATGTACTATCAAATGTCAAAATGTTACATTAACAAATAGAAATTAAATAATCAATTGGCGTTTCATAGCATTAAGCCCTCGTTTGGATATGCACTTATTTATCATTTCGTCATGCTATATAGTATTATGTTCACATTTGGTATTTATATATTTTGTAATTTATTCCTAATTAGAAAGATCATTGAATTTTGAAATTCGTGTTTATGTGTGCTTTGGGATGTTCACATTAGTAAGATACAGCACAAGTTTTTGTGTAAAGAAAAATGTTACAATAATATATAAGTTGTTATTGTGGTGTTAGTTGAATCCTTAGAGAATAATTCTTGAAACAATTATTCAAAGTTTGTAATGTGTTACGTTGCCATCACAGTTAGGACTTTTTAATGTATGTACATACGTATGTACATACATACGTACATAATGTAAGTCTTGTTTTTTCGAAAAAAAGCTTCTTACAATGTTTATGATAAGCAAGATCTAATTCGTGAAACACGTTCACAAGTTCCTATTATAGAAGGGAAATAATTAAATCATTTATTTTATCCTTTGCATAATAACTGGACATTGGTCAGAAATTATGAACTTTAACATATGACATAGCTAGGACGGACGGATATAAGACAAATTTGAGGTTTTAAAAAATAAC